ATTTATTATTTTTTCGAAGTTCGAGGTCCAGAGTATTAAAATTTGATCGACAAGTTTTATATTATTCACACCTGGTGAATAATAATAAATACCTCTAAAGGTATTTGTATTAAACAAGACCATTCTACCTGCTGAGAGATTATTAACACGAATATGACATGCATAACGAGCACGATAACCACGTTTCAAAATTGAATGATAGTGACGATACGGATATCTTCTATCTTAATTGCAGTATCGTTGCATCTTCGTCGGATAAAGTGGCAGACAGCGTTGTCAAGCGTGTGCAAATTCACTCGAGAGATTATGAGAACCCCTGAAGTAACATATCGATAAAATCAATCCCTCCCTTCAGGCACTGCTGGAAATATAGACCTTTTTTTAAGGCGAACTTTTGAGAGGAAATACGACGAAATGTCATTGTACTCTTATCAAAATAGAAATTACATTTCAATCCATGGTTGAAAATTATAATTCCACTGTCAACAACCGCGATCCTCCTCGAATACCAAATTCTCTCGACTCACAGAGAAATCTCTGCTACTTGAAATACATGTATTTATATAGATAATTAGAAGATTCATTCCAATCATCCTACCAATTATTCTAACAAATATACAACGCCTTTTGTATCGATGATATTTCAACGATTTTGATTTTTCAAAATAATAATGGGTATTAGTCTTTATTTTACTTAAACAAACAGACAAAAATACTTTCAATCTTTATGGTTTGGGTCCTTTTCAAATTTTGCAAAGGTTATATAGAATAACTAACAATATTAAAAAGCAAATATGTTGAAGAATAGAAAACTTAAGGAACTTCATTTTTCTCACACTCTGCCTTATAATTTATATTTTTTATAACATCAATTCAACATGAATCACATTTTACTTACAATTAATAAATTGAAATCACATACCCACGCAAGATTGAGTTCGTAGTATTTTTTAAACTATGTAGTCTATAAGGTATGGATTATAAAAACGTTTTACAATCCATCATCGTCCCTTATCGTGCAAAATGATTGTTTCATTTCTGTTATAATTTTGTCCTCACTTCATTGAAAAATTGATGCTTATTTTCAATAACCTTCGAAGAGGACCCAAAACCTTAAGGATTGAAATATTGTTTGCGTGTTAAAACTAATGAATATACTAATCTTTCATTTTGTCATTCTTCCCAAGGATATTAAATTCATCGACCACAACACTTACGTCATATATTAATTCGGTAAGAAGAGAGTTTCTTCATGAGAAGAAGTACGAAAAGAACACCACGAAACGACTATACGTTCACTTATCGAAGTTTGCTAATTAATGTACTTATTAATGTAAACTGTGTACAATACCGAATGTAAACACGGGCATCCATGAATCGCGGTGGCTGAATATAGTGTATCAAAATATTAAACACCGAGAGGAACTTATTCCGTACTCGCTTTGATTACGATACCACGGACGAACGAGATGCAGCAATCGACACCAACCGAAGAAAGTGCGAGTATGATACTCGAGGTATGAAAACAGAAAGCGGATCGAATCGTAAGTAACGGAGATAAGAGACTAAGGAAAGGCTCCCGTTTGTTAAATGATAAAATGAGTCATTTTTAGGAACGTGTGCGTTAGAAACAAATTTTTGTACGACAAACAGAAAGAACGTCACGATTAATTTTTAATAGCGATCAAACAAAGGACTCGATTAATTTGTAATGGTGATTCATTAAAACTAGAAGATAGTTAGAAGATGTATCAAGTGGTAGCCTCCAAAGAAAGACGACATTCAGATGAATAATCTTTGGTTCTAAAATTGGAGTAATTTTGCTTACTGTAATAAAAATAGTTCTTCAATACATGTGATATGTACGTAGTAGGTGAAGGTAGCCATACTTTCTTGTTGATGTTTTCGAACAGTACAAGATCCAGAAAAACATATGTGAGAAGGTTTATTTACTACAAGCCTTCATCAGAAATGTGTATATACACTACAATGTAAACAAAGTTCTACAGAATTCACAATTAGACAACAAAGGTGAATACAAAGATGTTATAAGGAAAATTATTGTTATAATTCATTAATAATTTTGTTCGATACAAGAAAAATTATTCTCATAACATTTTTGCTATTATATTTGCTTATGTTACTTATACAGAATCGTATTTGAATTCTTGTTATTATATCTCAAGAGAGTTCATAGAAAGAGAGTCGAAGCGTTTAAATAAATAATTCGTATTGCGTATGTTCTTCTGGAATTTATTTTGCTCGGAGATATCAAAAACAAAAGAATACTTTAAGTTCGTATTGCATATACAGCTGCAAGTAAGTAATCCCTCGAATAATTTGATGTACTTGTTTAAGAACTGTAATTGCAGCTGCAATAATTCTAGAACCAATCACAAGTAGATATATTTTAAATACACATGTTTCCAAGATTACAAGATTTCAAGTCAAGTGCTTGATTATTTCTCGAGTACCTTTGAATGTCGTCTCAAAATGTGAAGAGTCTAATTTTCAGATATTAAACTTGTAAAAAATGCCATTAAGATCGATTTCCCATCTAAAGAAACCGAAAGGTATGTATACCTTGATGCGAATAATAAGTTTATTCGAGTATTATTCGCGACATTTATTCGACTTAATTGCTCAATTTTTATTTCTTCGATTGCAAGATATTTTATTCTAAGATGTTAATTCCAATTTTTATTTAATTAGTAACGAATAAACAATTGTTCTTGTAAATCGCTGATACTGTTGCGATCAACTCAATTCGTCAGTGTCATTGAAAGGAAAGGTAAGCAAAATTCTTGTCTAAATAAAAGTATCGAATATTGAATAACAGTGTCTTATCTTTCGCCGATTGAATAAAAAAAAAAAATAAAAATATGAATAATGAATATCATATCTCGTGTTGAGGAACAAAAATGTATCTCGATCTCAATAACTGTTAGATCGAATGAATGTATCGAATAAATTGTTATACGTTCGATTTTACATAAAAATTACTGTTATTCACGATCACAACACCCTTTCAAAATTTGTTAAAATGTACAATATAACTTCTTGAGCGACGAATCCTAAATGGATTTCTGTTGCTTCTGTTTGAATACACACAAACCAAAGCAATTTTTATCTGTAAATCGATTTTAACATTCAAATATACTGTCTCATTGTAATACGGTATATTTAAAAAATTTTAAAAGGTATTGCGATTGTAAGTAATGATAATTTTTATATACAAGCACACATACAGTGGGTGTAGAATGTATTCGTACACCGATCAATTTTCCAAAAAACTTTTGTGTGAAATTGTAGTTTCTTAACTTCTTTTTTTGTAATCAATGATATTTTACATATTCTCGGAAGTCTCTAAGATAGATATAGTCCAAACAACATTTACTAGTTAATATAATTTGTGAAATTAACAAAAAAATGCGAAAAGTGGGTAAAAGTATAGAAGCAATACGTTTTTGTACGATTTTTATGACGAACCATTTACAGTAGAGTTGGTAACGTAAACAGATTAATTTATTGCTCCATACGAATTAGAAAACATCCAGGAAAGTACTTTTAAAAATGGCTCTAATAGAGGAATGGAAAAAGATACCACTTCGAATAACTAATAATTTAGTTAATTTAACGCTTAGAAGAGTTGCAATAATTATAAAATCAAAAGGAAATCCCACGAAGTATTAATTATTTATAAATTAATGTAAATTTCTTTTGTTTTTAATCAAGTTTTAAAAATTAAACAGTTGTGCAAATACTTATTGCTTCAACATTTTTATCGATTAATTGTTTTTTTCTTGTTAACTTCGCAACTTACATAAATAGCTATATTTTTGTACTCTATTCTAGAGATTTCCGAGAATATGTAAAATGTCATTGTTTATCAAAAATAAGTTAATAAATTACAATTTTACATAGTTTTTTTGGAAATTGATCGGTGTACGAATACTTTCTACACCCACTGTATGTGTCAATATCCCTCAAGAGGCTAAAGTAAAAAGCCTATACTCTACATAGTCTAACTGCTGTTATAGTTTGGATAAAATCTACTATAAACAATTTTTGTTGTAAAATATTAAAAAATTCGTCCCTCAAGAGATTAAATAAAATTGTAACCATCTCTCATTCGAGTCCATTGACTGACTGAAGAAGACTGTCCGTATTAAAAGCCATTATCCGATAAAAATATCAGAATACGCGTAAAAACACGAGCGTGAGTAGAAATGAAAACACAAAACGTCACAGCCACACGTGTATCATGTGTATTTCAGTGATACGTTGACTGCGTCTCGACGCGTGCAACACTGAAATAATTGCATCTTGCAAGTCACTTAATCACTTCTCCCGCGACCAACCGTACACACGTGAAATGCATAAATAACGTCAACCGAAACCGAACTTTTATCCGTGTAATCGCATCGTCCCAAAAATAAAACAGTTCGCTCAAAATCCACCCAGCGAATAAAACTGCCCAATCTCGTTGATTAGCTGCAACACTTCGACACAACTTTGAATTTATCGCTTTGGAGCACTGATACAGACAGAACATTATATATTCCAATACTTTTGGCCCGAGTGAATATTTTATTGTGTATCAATTTGACGTTTGAAAACGTGACATTTTAATGAAATTGTACGCATGGATTCAATTATTGTGTCAATTGATTTAGTGTTGGAAAACTTCTAGAATAACACGAGTGATCTCGGTGGTACGAGGAAACTAACTTTTGAGAAATAGAGAATTTTATTTAACGGAACCTTTTACTTTATTGAATAGATAACAGTACACTTTATATCTAGATCTAGCCATCGTCATACAATAATCAGCGCGCATTAGCGTAACAAGAAACAAAATGATACCGCCGATAACGATAAATTAGAAATTTACAAGCGATCAAAACTGAATATAAACTTTCATGAAACTGTCAACCAGATCAACGAAATAAACTGAAAGTATCGACGACTGGGTTAGCGTCCAAATAAATTGCACTTACCTTATTTTCGACCCAAGTAATCATCGCCGTATAAAGAAAACCGTTTGTATCGCGATTTTGATGTTATTAAGCGATCGACTCGCTCGCACCACCGCAATCGATCGTGTTATTCGCGAATTGGGCAAACACGTGATACGATTGATTCACGAGCAAATCGTTTCACTCGATTTGCCAACTTCCATCGATGTCCGTCGCTTTTGAAAGAGAGGCGACGGAGAAGCGTCGGCCGATTCGTTTCGTGAAAGTTTCGAAGGGTGAGACACGCTCCCGGGAATAAAGAGCGAACAAATGTCGGATACTGGATGACTTACTTTCTCGTAATCAATTCAAAGTATCCAGATGTGCGAACGGGTACTGGTAACCCATGGATGGTGGCGGTTGTCGTCCGATCCGTGAGCACGTGCAACGGTCGGCTGCTTCCGCGCGACTGAAACGGAGCCGCGGTACTCGGGAACACTCGAGCCAAACCACCAAAGACTGCTCGACTACTTGCTGCTACTTTGCTAGGCTTGCCCGGTGCGACCGTGTCTTTCTTGGCTTTCCTCCGACGCTCGACGATCCGAAGACCGAACCGAGCCGACCGCGGTGGCCCCTAGAATTTCGGTCGAAACGGGCTCGGCTCGGGGTCGACGGAGACGTTCAACCGGCGTGATATCTGCTTCCGGAAGTCCCGAGGGGCAAGTCATGGTCAAAGTTTTTGCGAATACAATCTGCCGTGTCGCGATCTGCGCCACAATGAAATGGTGTTGGTACGCGTTGGTTTTTGTACAGATTTGAATCTAATTGGCATAACTCTTTGGGCCACGGTGGGATTAAAAGTGTCCCACCTTTTTGATGGACTGTAATGCATGGCGGGACATTTTTAATCCCACCTCGAAATTTTGCAATAGCTGCATGTGTATAGGTTATAAATCCAAATAAGTAAACACAAACGTAACGTTTCATTAGAAATAAGAAAACGTGGTACAAAACATTTTCCAGAAAGTTCGTCTCGTAAACGATGTGCGCTTTGTAGTATAAAAAAAAGGAAGTTCGAACACGATGGTCTTGTACTGTGTGCAGAGTGCCCCTGTGCTTAGGAAAAAATATATGCTTTAATAAGTATCATTTATGAACCTATGTCGCACGGTGGGACTATTTTTTGAGTCCCGCCCTCTAACAACAAATTCGATTACATAATTATTATTTTGTCATTTTATGTTATTATTATTATGTTATTTATATTTATGTTATTTTATATTATTTTGTTGTTATATTTATTTTGTTACATTATGTGATACCTTTATTAATAAAAATATAACAATTTTGTTTGATTTAAAACGAATAAAATTCCTGTGCAACATGGGTCTATTTTATGACCTGAATTCGTGTGCCGGAAAGAGTTAAGGTAAGAAAGTTTAACACTAAACCTACCTAGATAATTACACTAGACTGTAGATGTTTAAGCAAATTCATATTTTCGCAGATATACCAAAAGAATTGAAATTTAAATGAAAGTATCTCTTATCGTTAACATGTTTTATGTAATATATTTTTTCATTTATGCGCATTATCATAGATTTATCCGTATTTTTATTTGTCATAAGTACATAAATATTCGCAGTCTACTAATAAGTTTATAAATTAATGAGCACTCTAACTGAAGAATATATGACTGCACTTGTAGGGTTACTATATTCCCGTATCAGAGAACATCAATCAAATTTATGGGGACTATTTGAAATTTAACACTAAACCTTCCACGACCGGTCAAATGACCGTTTTCAAACTTTTGTGTACAGTTTTATACATGCTATATATGAATTATATACAATTCATGCATTATCCAATGTAATTCCATGTTAAAATTTTTGCATTTATCGATTTTTTGAATTTTTTTTGTCCTGAGTATATTAAAAAAAATTATTTAGAATAATCAGATATTGAAAACTATGGTTCAGGCGATAAAGGCACATATGAAGTGCTATCGAGTTGTATTTTTGAAAAAATAATTTTGCACAAAATGGTAACGAATCAAACACGTTTTAGTCCTGAAAAACTCTCCCCCCTTAAGGGGACCTTGGACGCGTGAAAATCGTAGATATATTAAATAATTTTTGTTTCGAAAACAGTTGACTTAATAATAAAGAAATGATTTTTATTTAAGTTTTTTTTTAATAAAATAGCGATGTTGGAGCCATTACACGTAGAGGATGACTCTTCAATCAATACCAAGTATTTCTCATAAATATGATATTAATTTTTAAGTCTGCCTATAGGCCTAAGCTTTCATAATACCTGCAATAAATTGATAAGAAGTGATAGTATATTGACATACTATGACACACAGAAGTGAATTTTCCCTTTTCAGAAGACGAGTCCGTTTATATGGTATTATTACACTTACATTATTATTTTGATACCGAATACACTATAGTTTATTTTTTCTTGATACATTCGAATATATACCTGTGATGCAAAAAACAGAAACTTAACGAACCCTTTAGAAATATAATTATTAAATATTGTGAATAATAATGAACCTAAATACGATCCTTGTAATCAGCGAATGCGACATGAATGGGAATAGAATTAAGGTCATTCACCATGACAACCTGAATCCGCAAAGATAAATAGCTTTTTAACCAATCTAACACGTTACCACTAAATCCAAAGTGGCTGGGCTTACCCATAAGTATCATGATTACCCATATCAAAATGTTTTCTTGAAATCAATATCCGATATCCATTTGATTATATTGTTCAAGAGCAATCGAGATTTAATTACAATAATAACCTTGGATAACTAGTAATATTACATTCGCGACGAGAGATGTCTCACGTATAATTAAACATCGATCGAATAAAGTTGTTAGAAATCCCCATTAATAATAGCCAGATAAAGTTAGTTTCACAAATTACACGTTACAAATACAAACGGTTTTACTTTACAAGAGTGAAAGTCATACCGATATGCGCGCAGCGTCGATTTGAAGTTTGGTCACCAAGCGCATGTAACACGGAATGCAATCGCAGTTGCGCTTACACTTTACGTATCCTGCTCACTCTTTTCAGATGATTCACACGTGGCTGAGTCTCGCCTGGAAATAGAATACGTTTCCGACTCGATTCAAGGTATCTGGCAGACCCGATTTTTCACCTTGAAGCGAGGAACTACCTTCGACCTCGAAGGTTTCGAACAGCTAAAATATTCCAAGGAGCAGAAGAAAATGTAATTCATTGGAACGTATATCCTCTAATCTGTGGTTTTCTTTATATAAATTGTATGTCCTATAAAAAGAATACATGAAAGAAATAATTAAAACCTGGTTGAAATTATAAATTACAATTATTGCATTGAAAGTAATATGAATCAGAGTTAATTCTTTATTTACAGAAAACATTTCAAATCACTCATAATTATTAGGGAATATGGGCCTGTTTAGATAATTTAAGATTTACTTTTTACACAGGTGTATGAAAAATGACAAAATATTACGAATGCAAAGAAACTATAAATTCTGAGTAATTTATTTAGTGTATAAATAGTAGTATTTTTAAATAGGCAATTGAAATTGACTCGTTATACTCGTAGAAGATATTGGCACAGTTCAATCGATTTAATTCTGGACACCTTGTACAGAAGGTAATTAAAGAGCGTCGTCACTATGTTTACTGACGTATTCAACATCTCTGATCTGAAAAGACAGGGTGTGCTCAGGGCCGACGAAGACGTTCAACTGGTGAATTATACACTTCCGGAAAACTTGGAGGATGTCACGGTCACGGTGTCCTTGCGGGACTATATCTGATACATACAGGAGGATTTAAAAGTAAAGGCACGAACAACGACGATAAAAGATTGCTGATTTAAATGATTGTGGGAAAAATCAAATTCTAGAAAAGAAGTTATAATTTGTTTATGATTCTTTTTTCTTTATTGAGAAGCTATATTTCCCAAGAAACTCAGTTTTCAAAAAATTATAATGAAATTTGTTTAGTTAGTAATACATTGCTCAAAATTGATTCCCAACTATCGATTCTAAAATTGTAAATATATGTATACGTCATAGGTGTTTAATTCTCGCTGACCATTAAAAACATAATCATAGCCATACGAAAAATGGTATCAGTGCTTAAAAATTCACCTGTAAGATATAGTATTCCACAAATAAACATTTAGGAAGAAGAAGGAAGAAGGAAGAATTTTTGTAATAATCAGAGGAAATGCTGTAGTGATCATTACACCGCGGATATTTATGCATTTATGGCAACTTAAAATACGGGTAAATTTATGTGAATGTACATAAATGTAAACATTCATAAAAGATCGATAATAATATACAGTGAGTATAGAATGTATTCGTAAACCGATCAATTTTCCAAAAAACTTTTGTGTGAAATTGTAGTTTCTTAACTTCTTTTTTTGTAACCAATGATATTTTACATATTCTCGGAAGTCTCTAAGATAGATATAGTCCAAACAACATTTACTAGTAAATATAATTTGTGAAATTAACAAAACAAAATGCGAAAAGTGGATAAAAGTATAGAAGCAATAAGTATTTGTACGATTCTTATGACGAACCATTTACAGTAGAGTTTGTAACGTAAACACATTGGTTTATTGCTCCGTATGAATTAGAAAACATCAAATTTCCAGTAAAGTACTTTTAAAAAAGGTTCTAATAGAGGAATGGAAAAAGATCCTACCTCGAATAACTAATAATTTAGTTAATTTAACGGTTAGAAGAGTTGCAATAATTATAAAATCAAAAGGAAATCCCACGAAGTATTAATTATTTATAAATTAATGTAAATTTCTTTTTTTTTTTTAATCAAGTTTTAAACATTAAACAGTTGTGCGAATACTTATTGCTTCAATATTTCTATCGATTAATTGTTTTTTTCTTGTTAATTTCGTAACTTACATAAATAGCTATTTTTTTGTACTCTATTCTAGAGATTTCCGAGAATATGTAAAATGTCATTGTTTATCAAAAATAAGTTAATAAATTACAATTTTACATAGTTTTTTTGGAAATTGATCGGTGTACGAATACTTTCTACACCCACTGTACATGTTACACCGTTTAAAGGATGAAACTTATTATTATTTAAGCTTATTTCTTTCTCTGTATCTGTGAAAACGTGAATTTGCATAAACATTCACGGTGATCACGATTAAACGATATAAGAGAATAAGACGTTCAATTAAAAGAGCACCGATTTTCTTTAGATGAGTCAAAAGTATTATTAGCAACTTTCGACATATAAAAA